AATTGTCACAGCTCTTAGAAGCTTTTCGAGCTTCTGGGTAAAAAACTTTCATATTTATGGAAACAGAAAACAGAAAATGACTTTTAACCGAAATATTGAGATTTATTCGCTTCGATATCAGCTGTGTGGGATAAGTTGCTGCAAATATTACAATTGGCAAGCAACTCTTTCCATCTAAAGCCAGATGCAGATTTATTCATGCTGACAAATTTGTCATTAACTGTGCCAATTAACTGTGTAACATGGGATTTCTTTTGTAAGAAACTAACAAAATCAATAAATATAAAATTACATTCTGTTATCCAGTTCTTTTTAAAGACTTTTGAAGACACAGTCGTTTTGACTGGTTTTGGTAGAACTAGAGCTTCGTACGGGGGAATTTTCTACATATTCACTGTTGATATCGCTTCATCCGTGAAGTCGTTCGTTAGAAGAATCATCCCAATGTTGCAAAGATCTAAACTGAGAGAGAGAGAGAGAGAGAGAGAAAAAGAAAAACTTTCAGAGGATAAAGGTAGAAATGACGAGAAGATGGTAACTGTTTCACGTATACTGAAAATCAAGAAACTTCGGTGAATGCAGCTAGATCACATCACGGGCGCGATACATCACACAGCGGGCCGTACGATCGCACTTTGTTCAGCTACTAGGCAAACAATCGAGCCGAGCTATTCACGAGCGAGAAAAGCGCCGGCCGAGAATGTGTGTGCATACATCAAGCTTGTTTATATCTAACCGGTGGAGCCGGGATATGCAACAATACAGCAATTTGGCTCGGACCGATACCAGATCTCACGGAGGTGTCTTTCCCACCTTACCGTTACCAACACGGGTCCATCGACAAACAAGCCTCCCCCGTTCCGAATACCACACCAGTGGCATAGAATCGACGAATTCATCCGATGGATAAAATATTCGCGTCCCTTTTCGCCATTTTCCTTCTTTTTATTTTCTCTGCAATTTTCATCTATTTTTTCTTTTTTTTTCTTTCAACTTTCGATTTATTTTATTCCTCCACGTATCGCAGTCAGCATCTTCCACCACGATTACGCGAACATCTCGCATTATTCGACTAATATCGTTATCGAAATTTCATAAATCACAGCTTGTTAGTCAGACCAGCGGTGATAAATTCACTTACGTAACGAGTTATTATTACGTGCGGCGACAAGTCATTTACGTGCCATTTGACAAATCGCGTGATTATACCATTATTGAATATTTTTATAGATAGAAAGCAAACTGACTTTGAACGTCGAACATCTGAACTCGAATCGTGTAAGATTGATAAAAACAGACTTAATTATCAAACTTCTGCATTTAACTTTAAAATTTATCTTGATTCTTCTATTTTCTTCTATATGATCGGTAAGAAAAAATATAACGCTGTTGCCGCTAGGATTCTTAATAATTTTAAATTAAAGATCAAAAATTTTTCTTTAATTCAAGCTTTCTATCCTCCCAATTAAATATTAATTTAAATTTTACATTAAATACAAGAATAAATTAATATAAAATTCTACAGTCTTATCGTCCCATAAATGGATTTTAATTAAATTTTTATTAAAATTTTAAATTCGTAAAGTATATATTCCATTAAGTATATATTCCTTTCATTCCAGATTTCATTTAAAAATCAATTGATCATGCTGCCTTTGTACAGTCAATTAAATTTCATTGGCCAGATCGACTTAAAATTATTTTCAATAAGACATGTTTTTTTGAATATATTTAATTTGCCTAATTAATTATTATTTATATATTATACATATAATTAAAAGTTGATTAATTATTATTATATTAAATGTCACTCAATGTTTTTTTTTTATATCCTGTCACTGTGTTACGTTTCGGTCCTTACCGTGATCAACATGGCGGCAAATAAAAATGTGGTTTCTATACCACTGGGCATCGATTTCACGGTGGCCCGTGCCACGTATCTCGGAACACGTACACGCATACCTAACTCGTACAAGAAGACGCACCGACGCGTATGGACACCGACACTGTATCCTCTATTTCTGGAATTCGACGCGATCTTATCTCGGCCCCGAAGTCACCGCGACCCCCGCGAAGAGGATCTTTGATTTAGTACGAAAGGGAAGGGAAAAAAAGAGAGAACAGCAACGTGGCTCCGAGGATACCGACCATTCATCTAACGGCGACGGCTCCAGAAACGCGATTTGCAAATGAAGATCATCTCTCTGAGCTCAGTTTAAAGGAACACGAAGCGGATAATCAATTAATCGCTATTTAAAGCAAAACGAGATTCCTTTTTATTCGGGGAAACACGCAAGTCATTCTGCTCCGCGTGTGTAATTGTAATTATATTATAATTCTTTGCAATCTGTGATGTGAAAACTATATATCGGATTAAATATTTTTATTGCTTGACGCACTCACCTCTTTCAGTGGCACTTTAAATGGTAGAATTTTCGTGCCATAGATCACTGTGCCATAAGGTTTATACTCCAACCACCTGTGATAAAAGATAACAGTATGAAATAAGGGCATAACAAGCTAAAGTAACTATGTGAGATGTGAACATATACGCATACATTTATTCAATCATTTGTATCAATGTACGCGTGTACATGGTGTATGCAACAGGTGATATTAAACAAAAAGAAAGGCGAATATCATCGTGCGAACATATATTTGGATTCATAGAAATTGAAATCATTTGATAACCAATGACAAAAATGACATTTGTGAAATTTTGTTTTATGGAAAGTGATGAGAAATAGTGTGTAAAAACTGAGTAATTTTAACTTTTATACTCGATACTCGTTATTTTCGTTGCGTTCGAATAAGAAAGCACCATCTGTGAAATATCCTGCCAACAAACGCGTTTCTCAACCGATAAGTTAATCACCATACAAACTGCGTCGAGTAATGGATTTAGAAACATCAGAAATTTATTATTAATTAAAGCTACGCAATAGATGGACTTAAATACACGTAGGAACCTTTCAACTCGTAATTAATTAGACTCCTATCGTTGGTACAGCTTAAAAAAGAAATATCGAAACAACAAGAAAAGTCGGCATAACATAACCTCTATGCAATGTGACCTCCGACTAACACTATTCAGCAAATAGTTTAAAATGCCTCATCAAGTTCACTGGTATTATAAAAAATAAAAAATAAACAATACTTGCCTCGTGGGTATAGATTTTGGCATATTCGTCGCTTATTAGATATTAAAATGCAAAATCAAAAGCACACCGAAACGCAATACCACTAACATAGTACACATACGCAGCAGACAGATGCGGTCGATAGTATTCGGTAGAACTGAGTACGCAGAACGATCGATCGATCTCTCGATTTTCGCGCGCGCAATACCACTACATTGGCAAATTGATTTCGTACAAAAAACACTTGTAATCATTTCATTTTGTATTAAGTAAAATACTTACCGTTTGATTATCATATGCAGAAAAATTACATAAATCAAGATATTTCTCAATAAATTTTTTTTTCCGTAAAATTTTCAACTATAATGATACAAATATAATGATACATTTAATTTATGTAATAATCAAGAAATTTAATTTCTTTAACTTCAGTTTTCATATATCCATTTTACGAACATGACTATGGGCAAACAGAAAAGAAAATTGGTTTCAAAAAGGAAGATTTTTATTAGCTTGTTGGACACTGTACGTCGCCATCTTTTCTTACTTTCAAATGCAATATTTCATTTAACACCTTTTTTTCCAGTTCTAGAAGCGCGGGAGGTTTTTTGTACTACAAAAAAAGAGAAAATAAACACAAAAGTACTCTAAGTATATTCAAATGTCTAGATATTTTCCATACCGTAATAATCAATGTATTAAATTGATGTATGAAAGATATCCTGTCCTGTTCTACTTTCAATCCAGCACGTTCCAAATCTGGTACTATTATCTTCTTAAAATACTTTTTGTTAGTTGTACGAACAGTTATTGTGTTGTCATCTTCTGCTGTCACACCATATACATTCTGTGGATATGGCAAATTTCTTATGCGCCATTCAAGTGCAATCTTTGTAATTCTTCTTGTAATAAACGGCTATTATAAAGATATATAGTAGTAATTAGTATTGATTACATCCTGATATACATGTATAATTTCAATGTATATGTGATTTTATATTGCACAAAACAAACTTTACATACAGTACTTGAACTTTCTTGAATTCCATATATTTCAATATTACTTTGTTTAGGTTCTGGATCTCCAATCTCTACTTTCCAACCTACATCTTGTCCAAGTTTACCTTTTTCCTTCCATGCTCTCTTTACTAAAACATTTGTTTCCAAATGGTACTCTTCTACCATTTCCTTGCCATCTTCCATTAAAAAATGGACCTTTCTTTTTCCTAAAAATACAGAAATATTACATTTGGTGTAATTCTAAGAGCATGCTATGAAAATAATATAATTTCAATGTATTGCTGACAAAAGAAATAAAAATATATATGAACAAAAATAATAAAAATGTCAATATGTTCATCAGGAGATTCATGATCAACAGAATCATATACATACATACTCATATACGTAATTTTATAAAGTATATTTATATTTTACGTTTTATATAAATGAATAATATGTTATATACAATATATTATATAGCTTAATCATAGAGTAAGGCTTAATTCATGGCATTATCATGAATGTGAAATACAAAATTAGAAGTAACAGTGCATTTATTGATCAAACATCTTTAAGGTTAAAAATATACATTTAAAAAAATGTAAAAAAGCAATCGTTAAATAATTTTTTCTTACAGAAATTCAATACATAACAAAAGCATTAAGTACGTAATATTAATATACTTTTAAATTATTTTACCATCTTGAATAATTGCAGTTTTCGTAGCATTCTGAATGAGTCTTAACCATTCATCAGGCGCCATTGGTAAATACTTCATTAGTTTCTTAGCAACTATCTACTACATATATCATAATAACTATCAATATTTTACTAATATTTGAAATACAACATTGAAAAAATCATCAAGTGATTTCTTTGAAAAGAAAGATAATTTGTAATTACATCTGAATATCTCAGGAATTACATATTTACTAATACTTAATTGCAAAACTTTTTAAAGACATTTTAAATGTAAAATATCTGGATTTAAAATATTTTATCTGCGATAGACAGAAGATGCAATATTAAATATTTATATATATATATTAAAAATGACAATGATAAATATTTAATAACATATTGGAACATTATTACAAAATTGTGTATTTTTAACACACAGAGATATAACAGTATATCTAAAATTATTCTTGTTACAGAATATATGTAAATATTTATAAAATGCATTGAAAAAAAAGTAGTTATAATAATTAGTACAAAATTAATACTGAGATAGATTTAAACTAATCATCATAAATCATCATAGATTTTTAAATAAAAATTGAATAACAGAAAAATTATAATAACTTTTAAGAAAGATGCATTTATGTGTTTAAAATGTAATTTTATTAAAAAAAATGTTGTATTTCTATAGGTAATTATAAAATGGATTACCTTATAATTATTAGCGATACGATTTTTTCGTATGACAAAGAAAACGATTATAATAATATGTATATCTAGAGCCAGTCGAATGGAAGATGGTGTTATTTTTAAAATTATATATCTATATTTTTGTGCTTCGTTTATAGACACAGTCTATTTATAGTTAAAAGGAAATATGCATAAGTACGTTCAACTTGACAGATTTTAAACAAGTTGAAGTTCTAGCTATTAGTCAGTAAAAAAGTGATATGCAGAAGTCCTTAAAATCTTGAGAAATATATAATCACTATTACATTATAATCTTTGTATAATATCTTTAGTTTTCCTTGTTATAATACTATGAAAAAATATTTTTTTTATTTAATTATGTTATTCTACTTAGTTATTCT